GGGAGCGACTGGGTTGCACAGGGTGAGCAGAACCATGCTGACGGCCCTGTCACTGGGTCACCGTCCTGCCCCATGTCCGCACCTGGTCCTGCAGAGGCCAGCGCGGGACCCTCCCAGGAGGTGGCAAAGAGCCTCAAGGCGTTTTAGGAGGGAAGGAAAACGGGGATTGCGGTCGGGGCCCTTGGACGCCAGGCCAGGTGATTACAGACTGGGTTGCACAGGGTGAGCAGAACCATGCTGACGGCCCTGTCACTGGGTCACCGTCCTGCCCCATGTCCGCACCTGGTCCTGCAGAGGCCAGCGCGGGACCCTCCCAGGAGGTGGCAAAGAGCCTCAAGGCGTTTTAGGAGGGAAGGAAAACGGGGATTGCGGTCGGGGCCCTTGGACGCCAGGCCAGGTGATTACAGGCTGGGCGCTTGCCAGCCCGGAGCAAGGGCTTGGCGTGGCTCAGCCCCTGCATCGTCGCATCGTGGTTAAAGGGGGCCCCCCATCAGCCAGCCGTAAACCTGGAGATGGGATTGGGCCAGCAGCTTTGCAAGCGAGAGTCCTGCAGATCACCACAGCCCAGGCCTGGGAGGAGTGCGCTGACAGGCTGCATCTTCCTCCTGGCCTGGCCACCGGCCAGAGGGCTCCACAAAACCGTCCCTGGGCAATGCGGGAAGGGGCAGCGGTGCCATCCCTCTTCCTGAGGCGTGGCCTCATTCACCAGAGGGCCAGATGGCCTGGGGTGGCCGCAGCAGCTTCCAAAGGTGGTGGAAGGGAGGTGACCATGCGAGGGGGCAAGTGTGGGGCGAAGTTACTCAGCAGTGACCTCGGGGAGCTGCCTTGGCCAGCATGTGGCTTCTGTCACGGAGCCTTTTCCTGCAGCTGGGGCTGCAAGTGACAGCCAGGGTAGACGGAACAAGGAGGCGGCTGTGGCTCTTCTCGGCTCTTCGGAATGGTGGACCCAAGACAAATCAGAGAGGGCCCATGGTTGTGCCACTCGCTGCCATCTGCTTAGCAGGGGCTGGGCACAGAGCCAGCGAGGGGGCAGCTGAGGGATGGGGCGAGGGGCTGACAGAGCCGGCACCAAGTTCCTGGGGCAGCCCGGGGATGGGACTACTGGAGCCAGTGCTGCCTGCAGCTGCAGAGCATCCCAACGCTCTTGGGGCACCAGTGTGGTGCCCTCCGCTGTGGCATGTGCCTAAGGCCGGCCCTGGGCATGACGGATTAAAATGAGAAGTGACACATGGGCAGGGACTTGGGTAAAAGGGAAACTACAATGGGTTGTACGGAGCAGTGAGCGGCTCAGCCGGAGGGAGGTTAACAGCGGAGTCCCTCAAGGGCCCCTTGAGACCAGTCTTATTTTCATTAGTGATGCTGATGAGACATCTGGGAGGTAGTGCTGGAGTGGAGGAGGACTGGCCTATCCAGCAAGGAGATCTGGACAACTCTGCAAACTGGCGCAATGGAAATGGGATGAAATTGAATCATGCGAGGTCATCTGCTTAGGGACGAGCAACACGAATTTTTGCTACAAACCGGGATCGCGTCAGTTGGCAGCACCAGAAGAGGCAAAACAGCCTCCCACGGGTGTTGGTCAATCCCAGGGTGCCTGTGAGCCACTAGTGTAATGTGGCCACGAGACAGGCAAATACCATTCGAGGATGCAACAGGTGCTGCCTTTGCAGTTCAGACAGGGACGTTACTCGCATTATACGCGGCACAGGGGAGCTCATCGGGAAGGCCGTGTGCCTTTTTAGACAGATGAATTCAGACTGGGAACAAGCCCAGAGGACTGGAGAACCTGCCTTACGCGGGTAGGCGCTTGGCTTGTTTAGACTAACCAGGCGAAGGTTTGGGGAGACGATTGTTCTCTGTAACTACATAGCAGGGAGAGGAGCTACTGAAGTGAGGGGACGATGCTGGCACAAGAACAGCTGGATCTAATCTGGCCATGAACAAGTTTAGGCTTGAAATTAGATGAAGGTTTCCATGCTGCAGAGGACTGAGGTTCTGGCACAGGGGAGAAAAACCGAATTGGTTCCAAGACTGAGTTTGTGGAGGGGATGATCGGGAGAGATTGCTCGTGGCGTGACTACTAATAACGATCCTCTCCGAGGGCTGGTGATGGGACACAAGAGGAGGGCTCCGAGTTACTACAGAGAATGTTTTCCGAGGTGTCTGGCTGGTGGGTCTCTCTCAAGCACCTGTTTGTGGGGTTGGGAAAGGAGCTTGGGGGGCAGGTCACGGCAGTGTAGGGTGCGCGTCCGTTGCTGGTTTGAGCTACACTGCACAGTGGATTCTCTACCTTAAAGTCTTTACATTAAGATTTGAGGACGGCAGAAACTCAGCCAGAGGTCATGGGGCCCCCCCCAGCTGTGGCTAGCTGAGGTTCTGTGGCCTGCCAGGTGCAGCAGGTCTGAGCAGGTGATACCGATCACTATTCTGGTCTTAGAGTCTATGAGGCAGAGTCCTCCAACCCAGCGATATTGATGGCAAGAGCACCTGATGGGCTGTGTCCCTTCCCTAATGTGCTCTGGAGAGCACACGGGTTGTGCAGGCCTCAAGGCCCCCGCTGAGCACCAGGGCAGAGGTATGAAATAAGGTTACAACAGGACATGTCTTCATAGGGAATCATGGGGTCAGACCTGAGCGGAGAGCTTCGACTGCACTCTGCAAGGCCCGCAGGGTGGTGAGCAAGCACCACTTAACAGGTAAGATCCCCAACTCGTCCCACGCATAGGGCAGGTTACACTGCAGGGCAAAGACGGCCTTGTTTACGCAACTCAAATACCATCGCTGGTGTCGATGTACCTTGGGTCACGTTACTGCAGGGGGTCGATGGGAGCAACTCTCCTGTCAACTTCCCTTCTGCTTCTCCATCTGGTGGAGGACCTGAGCTGATGAGAGAGCGATCGGCGGTCAACTGCGTGGGTCTTCCCTACTCCCGCTAACTCGGCCCCTGGAGGCTGATCCCACCCCACCCCTGAGTGTGGACAAGCCTTCAGACATTCCTGGAACCCAGCAGATGAATGACTGCTGCCCAGCTGGAGGACGCATGGCTCTGACTTCGCCCTGAGCCAATGGGAGGAAGGAGCAGCCAGCAAGAGGCACCAGGAGGACAAATGGTCCCCTCAGCCTCCCAAGGAGCAGAAAGGCAGCTGAAAGTAGAGTAAAGCCAAGAGACCTGCCCTGTATTGACCAAGTGGCAGAGCGCACAGAGAACGACACCAGATCGGAGCCCACTGGGCCCTGGAGGAAGCTATTTCTTCTGGGCTTTGACTTGGCTGTTGGGTGGGATGGCCTTGCCCAGGTGCTGCCCCACACTCAGCCCGTATTTCTGAGCTTTCTGGTGGTCCTGCACCTCTTCTTTCAGCACGAAGCCCCCCTTGAAGCTCAGATCAAAGCTGCTGTGTGGAACAAAACTGATGGGTTGCTCCTCCCAGATAGTGGCCAGGCGCTTCTGCCAGTCCTCCAGGATCTGCAAACGGGCGCCCTCGGGAACGTGACTAATGCCATAGGCGATTTGGGGCTCCAAGACTTGGAAGCCACAGAAATGGAGAATGCCGTTCTAGAGGGAGAAAACACAGGGAAGCACTCAACTGCCACAGGCCGCCTTCAATCCAAGGCCATTTCTGCTACTGGAGAAGGCAGAAGCCCTGGGTAGGAGCTCACACTGGCACCCACAGGGGTCTGGTTTGCTATGAAAACCTAAACCCCCTGGTCACATCTCAGTGGATGGCGTTAGCCTGACCACAGGAGCGGAGACCTGCTGCTCCTTGCACAGCAGGGATTGGGGTTTGGCCCTTTCTAGATCCCAAGGCCCAAAGGGACACTTGTGATTGTCCAGCCTGACCACCAGGCCCCAGAACGCCCCAGAGCTGCACCCTAGACGGTAGCGTTCAGGAGAAGAGCCAGGTAATTGCCAATAATTCACTTCTTTCCTGAACGAGTTCTTCACCTTAATTCTCTTAAGTATTTTCCACTTGGGGTTTTAACAGGGCTAGTTTTGCAAGATGAGGTTGAAATGAATTCTCCTGTGCGAGAGGAATGAGAGAGGAAACGATCATCTAGAACTTTAAAATCTCAGGCTCAGTTGAGTACAGGCAGCATGAAACCCCTCCCCTCCCAGCACGTCACTGAAAACAACACCACTCAAGTTCCCCCCTGCCCATTATAGCTCCTAGGGAAACTGCCCCTGTTCGTTTGTCTCTAGCGAACGTGACTCCTGCCTCTGGCTGTCCCGCGCTGCAAAGGCTCCTCCTCCTCTGGCCCCCGGAAGTCCCCAGGAGCTGGAGACCCGGGGGAGCCTGCCGGGCTTGGCAGCCATGAACTCGACACACTTGCACCCAGGACCGCCAAGCCAACCT